AATGAGTGAGTGAATGAATGAATAAATAAATAAATAAATAAATAAATAAATAAATAAATAAATAAATAAATAAATAGAAAAAAAAGCGAACAAATAAACAAATCTCTATGATCTGGCGATATGACTCAGCAGGTAAAGGCACTTTCCCTGTAAGCCTGATGACCTGAGCTCAATCCAGGCTCACCTGGTGGAAGGACCGAACCAACTCCTACAAGTTGTCCTCTGGCCTCCATGTGTGTTGTGGCACTCACATACCCACACATACACATTCAAAATAACCAAATAAATGCAATTAAAAATAAGTTTTGAGGTTCGAATCCCAGCACCCACATGGTGGCTAACAACCATCTGTAACTCCAGTTCCAGGAGATCTGGTGCCCTCTTCTGACCAACCAAGGGAATTTCATGACATGGATGCACTTACATACATGCAGGCTATACACTCATATACATAAAATAAAAATAATAAAATAATTTTTTTTTTTAAGTTTTGAAACCCCTCTCTATTTCTGGTGCAGGCTCTTAGTCTTTAGCCCCATTTTAGCCGCTTCCAGCAAAGCCACTTTCCTGTCGGAGTGTAGAGAGGACAAGTGCACAAGTTACTCCATGTCATTTCTTGCAACCAGAAACATGACTTGCCCCAGCCCTTTAGAGCTCCTGCTAAATAGCTGGTGGCCTCTGGATGGGTGGCTGGCTAGCTGCTTCTGCCCAGGCTCTGGAACTTTAGGAAAGAGGCCAGCTGGCAGGCTCGGCAGACTCAGCTTGCCACTTCAAATACCCCAGTGCCCTCAGCTCTTCCTGATTTCATTTCCCCTTACAATCTAGGAACATCTCCATCCTGGTTCCTCTTTTTAAGACCAAGTCTTTCTTAGGATTTGATTTCAGTATTCATATGTAGTCTCTATACAAAAGCACAAATTTGATTTACTGCCTGTTCCAAGTATCTTTTGTTATATAGCAAATTACTCTCAAACTTGGTGGCTTAAAGAAACCATCATTTAATTATTTCTGAGTAGTCTATAGGTTGACTGGACTTTAATTGGGCAGACTCTGTGGCTCTAGTTCCTCTGTGGTCACCCACACAACTGTGTGAAGAGGGGGACCAGAGCCAGAAATCCAGCTCTTCAATCCTCTTCAGTACAGTCTCAGTCCTGTGAGACAGCCTGAGCTGCACACGCGGAGGCAGGGCTCCAGGAGGAAGATGCAGCTGCTGCCAGGATGCTGACCGCTTCGCCTTCTCCCTCCCCCAGTCTATTTCTTTCCTGTCATTTTTATTCAGCTATCATTCATATACCATACACAGAACTCACTTAACAGGAAGCACTCAACTATTTTTTATAGTATTTTATTTTTTATTTCTATTTTATGTATGAGTGTATTGCCTGCATGTATGTAAGGGCACCCACATCAGGCACTGCTTGCGGAGGTCAGAAGAGGGCGTAGGATCCACTGGAACTGGAGTGAGGGACGGTTGTTAGCCACCATGTGGATGCTGGGAATCGAACCCTGGGTCAGTGCTCTTCACCACTGAGCCATCTCTCCAGTCTTGATTTAACTATTTATTGGCTCACAATCCACAGCCATTAACAGATACTCTTCTCTTCCTATCTCCCAAGTCCTAGGCAAACATTAATCAATGTTCTATCTCTATGAATTTGTCTATCCTAGACTATACACCTGGACTTGTCTCTAAAAATGGATTCACCTACCATGTAGCCTGCTATAACTGGCATCTTTCCCTTAGCAGAATGTTTTCAAGGCATATCAACGCTGTACTACGTTTGCTTTTTATTGCCAAATAATATCGCAGTGTATGGTTATACCCTAACTTGTTTATTCATTCACTCATTGGCTGATTAGCTGGGTTCTTTCTGGTTTGGGTTGTTGTAAATAATACTATCAACATTGATAGGTAGCCATTGGCTCTGTAAAAATGGTTTGGTCACAACAGGCTGCATAGATGATGGAGATCTCATGAGACTATAATGGTGGTGGGCACAGTAGCATATACTTGTAATCTCAGCACTTAGGAGGGTAACACAAGAGCATGGTGAGTTCCAGGCCAGAAAGTAAGATGCATTCTCAAAAACAAACAAACAAACAAACAAACAAAAAAACATTAAAAGGGCCGGGTATAGTGGTGCATGCCTTTAATCCCAGCACTTGGGAGGCAGAGGCATGTGGATTTCTGTGAGTTCAAGGCCAGCCTGGTCCACATAGTGAGTTTCAGTCCAGCTGGGGCTACAAGGAGACCCTGTCTCAAAAAGACCAGAATAAAACAAAACAAAAAAACAAACAAAAACCATCAAAGGGGGAGGTTTTATAATGGAGCTGAAAATTTTCTATGGCCCAGTGACACTGTAACTGTCATAAAGTCATAGAATGACATAGTACGCATGTGTTTGTGGTGATGCTGGAGTAAACAAACCTACTATGCTGTCAATGGTGTAAAAGTACACCATGTACAATTACATATAGCATACAATACTTGATAAAAAGTGACTGTGTTACTGAGCTGTGTCTATGCCTTATGTTGCTATTTAGGGTATACTCCCTCTGCTTAATAAAAAAAATTTCCTGAAAAACAGTATGCCAGGTTCTGTTACAGACCCTCAGTGGCCCCAAATACCTCATGTTTGACCCAGCTTCTTCCCTCCCTCCCTCCCTCCCTCCCTCCTCTTTTTTTTTATTCTTAAAGGTCTTATGTAACTCAGGCTGGCCTCAAACTCTCTGTGTAGCTGATGATGACCTTGAACTCTTGATCCTCCTGCTTTTACCTCCTAAGTGCTGGCATTGTAAGTGCTGGGCTTAATCTAGCTCTTGACTGCATCATTTGCTCTTGTTCTTGGTTTTGTTTAGTTTGCAGTGCTAGAACCCAGGAACTTGCTCATACTAAGCAAGCACTCTACCATATGTAGGTCATCTGGTCTTGAACTTGCTGTGCAACCAGATTAGCCTGGATCTCAGGGTCCTTCTGCATCTGCCTCCTAAATGCTGGAAATACAGGTGTGCACCACTGTGTCTGATTCTCTGTTTTAATTTTATATAGATTTGTTAATCCAGGTCTTAAAAG